CGATGAATGGGCCCGGAACCGAGAAAAATTCTTTGTCAAGCATCCAGTAAATGCTGCTACATTACGTGAAATTGAATCAGCTGCATTTATTCTCACTCTAGATGACGAGGAATATCGAACAGATCCGGTATAAATTTTTTTCTCTTCCCCACTGAATAATTTTCAAATAAAAAGCACGTTTTCAGAATAATATAGACCAACTTTCACATTTTCTTTGCAAAATGCTCACCGGAAATGGTGTGGATCGTTGGGCAGACAAATCTTTGAATTATTTGGCAGCGAAGAATGCAAGGGTGAGGATGCAGCCGAAATCCCTTCAATTCCGTTTTGAAGGCAGTGTTCCCGGAGTTTTCTTCCAGTTTTTCATATTTTCGAGGCCTTATCATCAGAAATCCATATCTAAGCTTTTCCGCACATGAAATGGCGAAAATGAGCCTTTTTGATGGCTTTCCAGGTCTGCATTCAGTGAAATATGCGTCTAGTGGGCGGAGTCCGAAATGACGGAGGCGGGGCGCGAAAGTCCTATGGCGTATTTTCACTGAATGCGGACCTGGAAAGCTTTGAGAAAAGCTCATTTTCGTCATTTTCATGCGCTGAAAAACCCAGACATGGGTTCCTCACGGCAAAGAGGCTCCGAAGAGGTAAAAACTGGGAAACGAAATTCTTCTAGTATACTGCCTTGAGAGGTTTTTTTAGTGTGGAGGTACTACCGAACATTCCATAGCTGATGGAGCAGAATTTGATCATCTTATGGAAAACTACGCCACTAATGACATTTTAACAAAGCAAGTTTACTGGATGCTGGCAACTTCAGATTGAGTCACTGTAAATGTTCTTTAGATATGCCTCACTCGAAGAACAGCGTCGGATCGAACAACTAAGCAAAGATGATCGCGATATCATTCTTGCGGAAAAATTACCTGTGGAGGTCAATAGTGAGGTACACTACTTAAGTGTGAAATTATCTTTTACAGGTTAAAAAGTTTCGTTGCAGATGAGCACAGCTATCCAGAGATGTTACGATCAGTATTCGAAGCTGAGGGACGATGTTGATATGGCTGCAACTGTTTTTAGGTCAGCTGTAAGAGGTGTCATATCTCCAAAGAAGATTTTTTTGTTTGAAACCGTAATTTTGCCATCAAACATGGGTTACGAATGTTGAACTTTTTGAAATTAACTAGCACAAGCATTGTCTATGTCCTCTATTTTGTTCA